GTTTAAATTCAGGGTGGCATTGCAATACCCTAAAAAATTCTAAAGGTACCTACTGCTGGTGCAGTAATACAAGAGAACTGTAAGTGTGTATTACTAGTTGTTATTCATATTAGGTAAAAGTGGCTAAAGTCAGCTTTACAATGCAGGAAACAAGCCATGGAGAGTAGAAATTATGGACCTAGGAAGTGTAGGCAGTCTGCTTTTTATGACAGATGCTCTTAAGCAGTGGCAGTAGTAATGTACTCATCTCCTGTAACTTTGCTCCTTGCAATCTACTATCCACCTCCGCAATTTTTTCTGACTTTTTTTTTCTATATTTCCTCAGCTGAGTACCAAAAGAAAACACAGAACTTCAATGTTACTACCAAAATAATGTATATTCTTTCAAAATCAAAAATATGCAGAGCTTTTAGAAAACACAACAGAATTGTTGGAATGTATAAACTACAAGATATTGAACAGTATTTTTACATTATACTACATCAGCCAAATAAATGGATAGTAGGGCATGAGGAACAAGAATATAAATGAAGTTTTGTTAAAAGGGCTTTTTTTGGTCTCTGTGTGATAACTGTCATCACCATGATGTAAATACTTCACAATCTATTTAAATTTTCCCAAGTTGTATTATTTTGTGATCAGCTATGGTTTATTTAATTTCTGTTGTACTCATTGCTGAATTATCTGAGCACAATCTCTGAACAAGACAAATGGTAAAGTAGCAAAGGGCTGCAATAACTGAGCAGCCAACAGGATAAATCATGTATTGGCTTTGCCAAATCCTCTGTGAGTGCTTTCATTTCTTTTCCTCTTTGGTTTAAAATGCAACATATTTTCATTACTTCTGATGATGCCAAGGAGCTCTAAACTGCATCTGCAGAAGGGAACTGTACAGTTCTTTTTAGTGCCTATGATCAGAGAATTGCTTCATTGCTGCTATGATTCATACAGAGCTTCACCAGCAAGAGAAAGCCCCTGGCTAAGATAAAATAAAATAATACAATTATCTTAATGTAAATCAACCTTAGGAAATGGAGGTCTCTCATTTTAAAAAAGCCCAAACAAATAAATCTAGCATCTTGTACTCTTCAAGATTCCTTTGGAAATATCTTTGTTAATATAGTCTACACAGGGTTACAGGTGGGAAAAGACACTAAACCAATTTTCCTATTGATAAGAGATGTTGTGGACTATAGGGCATCACAACAGTTTAAATAGGTGCTCTGAAGATGTTTACAAAACATCATTTCTTTCAGATTTCTTTTCGGCACTAGGCAGAATTCAGTGACAACAGATTGTAAAAAATGCAATGTTTTGGAACTCAATGTATTAAAAACTGCCTTGATAATGCATTAAAGCAGCGAGAACATACATCACTATGATTTTCTAATTTAATTTATAACTACTAGAAAAATAAATAATTTAACCTAACAAAAATGTTTATAATACTTTATTCTAAAGACAAAATATGATTTATGCTCCAGAGAAAATTACAGAGATAAAAATTGCATTCTAACTGAGGATCTGTTTTTGCCATTTATGTGTTACTTCCTTTGAGCAAAGTGGTTAGCCCTTATTCAGGTCTTCTTGTTCTTGTTAAGGATGGAAACTGATACAAAGACATCAAGTCCTTCTTGAACACAAACCTCATTGTTCTTCCAAAATTAAGTGGTCTCAAGTATGTCAGGAGTATCTAGTGGAGGACATTTCTTTTGCACAATGGTCCAAGAGTTGTTTGGTTTGCTTTAGTTTGCTTTCATTTGGTTTCATCTCCACACAGCATCAAACCTTGCATTTAACTCATCTACTTCAGTTTTTGATTGACTTTCCACTGGGTCTGTGTTTCCAGTAGCAACTTCAAATTCTTCTTCTAACTTCTTCCAGAAGTATGGCAATACTACAGTCATATTTATCCTGAATGACTGCTCCACACCATGAAATTCAGGCCTGAACCCTCAAAACAATCTGATGTAGTCATCTATAGGTTCATTTGCTGAACAAAGGAACTTTATGTTCTGTATGTAAAAGATCTGAATCGGGAGGAAATGTTGACTGCCTGCCAGCATTTATCCACAAGTACACTGCTCCATTTCCCTCCCTTTCTGCACTGCATTTTAAGCATCGCTTTCTCAAAGAGACATCCCCAACTTGACCAGCAGGTACAGAAGGTGACGAAAAAACTCTTAATTCCCTTCTGCTCAGGTTCTCACAGCATGTTCATTAATATTGTCACTGCTTGTCTATATTTATCAAATCAAGTTCTGTGTTTTTACTTTTGCAAGTCCAATCTACCAGCTGCTGAAGTCAGTGGAAAGCCACCATTGGAATGCTTTTACTGAAGGCTTAAGTGATATGAATGGCCATCCTGCAGACTCTTTCTAGGGTGGTTGAATTTACAGTCAACTGTCAGAATAAATCCTGCTTTTACATCAGTGTATGCTTCTGTACTACACCATCAAATATTCTTAAAGAAGTGCTCAGGAATTAAATCAAACTAATGGAATCATGATTATGCAAAAATATCTGCTATTCATTACTTCGGTTGCCACAACTGACCTGTGCAATTACTGGTTCTAGCACACATCATGTTTCTACAAAATGGCCATCCTTCGACATTTTGACTTGCAGACAATACAGTTAAGGTATTTTGGATAAATTACTTTTGGTTCAGGACCAAGGGGTAATAGAGGTAGCTTTAAATCAGTATGGGGAGGCTTATTATTATTATAATGGAGAACCATTGCAAAACAAATGCAGTTTGAAGGCGCAGATTCACTTCTTTGGCTCTTGCGGACTGCTGGAGTGATGCGAGTGAGCTGTCCCCTACTCTCTTCATCATTCTGGATGTCACTTTGTTGCAATATGTTACCTGCTTTACTTGCCCCAGTCACTCTCTGCTTTACCATTCATTTGAGTTAGAGCTGTAACAAGATGCCAGCGGAGTGAATCATTGGGAGACAAGTGCATGTTATTCTTTATTCAGCTGCTGCCCGCCTGGTCATGCATTCAAATGGCCAAATCTAAAGTGAGAGAACCTTGTATTCCCCATTACAGCACTGAATTAGCCAAGTGCAGGGAGCAGGGAGGGGATATTAATGCTGTTACCACGGAGGAAAAAAGGTTCCTGATCTTTAAAACAGTTGGATCTTTTGACATACTGATACTTGGAAGGAAGTGAATGGCATCGCTTTAATATGTCACACATAAAATTCTTGATGGTGTTAATGGGCTTGTTCTGAGTCTTTGTCAAAACATATCTTCAGGACAACTTAAGTGGTGTCTGAGGCATCAGACTTCACTTTTGATAAAATCTGCTTAAACTTCTTGAGGTAATGGACCTAGTGAAGCTTCCCTGAGGCTAGTACTATTTCTCCTTTGCTCCTAACATGTATTTATTTACTGCTTCATTTATGGCAGGCTAAGATGACAAATTCTCAGAAATGGCCTTTTAAAAATATGTTATCTAAAAGTTTTCACAGACTACAGAGAAAAAAAAAAACAACAAACTTTCAAAAGAATATGAAAATTCTCTCCATTCCTGCACTATCTCACTTTATTGTTAATGAAAATGCTTTTATCCCATTACCTGTTATAGCTAAGATATTTCCAACATTTTTTGTTCCTTCAAATACTTGAACACTGAATACATGACCCAAGATGAAATAAATGCACATTGTGAAATTAAGGAGTATTGATGAACTCAGACCACTACAACTCCACAGCCTAAAGAGAGGGTGGTCATAATCCCCATCAGATGACAGAGGGGTCCTGAAACTTCTTAAAGACTCAGTTGCTGCAGGTGGGGGTGGTTTGATGGAAGAACTGTACCCACAGGGAGGTCTGCAGGACCACTCACCATGCACACAGCATGCTGCAATGAATTTTGGAACTCCATAAATACATGCATCATTTTAGGCTGATTTACTCAAACCGTGGGGCCATCCACAAATTGGTACAGGGATCCAATACTGAACTCAACAGACACTCCACCACAACTAGTGATCCCCCCAAATCCACACTCAGCTGCCCCAGGGGAGGCTGCAGGCACTGACCCTCATTAACACAGAGCTAAGTGGCTGGTGTCCAAGCCTCTTTAGGGACGCAAACCAGGACAGTCCCAGGGAGCTCTGCTGGGTGGGTGCCCTGCAGGACACCCTGTGCTCATATTAAAGGATTTAGCTTCCCACAGGAACCAGTGAAGACCAGCACTGATCACCAGGTAAAGATCTGTTGTAAAAAGGCTTAAAAGTGCTCTACAGCAGTCTCAAGCTTGTGTTTCGTGCTGCAAAGGTGTGTTCCACTCGTGAGGCGGCTGCCCGCCCACATGGTTCTTGTGACACCAAGAGTGCTCACTGAGCTGGGCCCGAGAAAAACTTCAGGACACAGAACAGGGAAGGTGTGACTCTGCACACTGGGCTCCCCAGTGAGGATCAAGACCCGGGCATCTTGAGTGGAGATTTAATCCACAATGCCATGAGCTCTGGGGCACAGAGGGTGGCTGCTCCAGACAGCCTGGCCTCAGACTCAGCTCAGCAGGCTTCAGGCTCTGAGCTGGCCTAAGGTGACAGTAGGGCTGTTCAGCCTGGAGAAGAAGAGACTCAGTCAGGAGTGATCTTATGCCTCTCTTCAACTACCTGGACGGAGGGTGGAGCCAGGTGGGGATCTGGGGACCGAGCTTTTCTCCCAGGTAACGAGTGACAGGACTTACTAAAGCTGCACGAGGGGAAGTTGAGGCTGGACATTGGGAAGAATTTCTTCACATTAGGATGATTAGACATTGGAATGGACTGACCGGGGAGGTAGTGGAGTCCCCATCCCTGGAGGTGTTTAAGGACTGGACGTGGCTCTCAGCGCCATGGTCTGGGTGACCAGGTGGAGATGGGTCACAAGGGTGAACTGTGTGATCTTAGCGGTCCTTTCAGCCGGCCCGGTTCTGCGATTCCTGCCGGGGGCTGCTGCTGTCGCGGGGCGCCGCGGGGGCGGCGCGGGGCGGAGGGCGCTGCGGAGCCGGTGCAGTGGGCTCCGCGGCCATTCCACACGGCGGCACCGGCCTCGCACGGCGGCACCGCGGGAGCCGCCGCAGCCCCGCCATGGCCAAGGAGGGAGCGCAGCGAGCCGAGGAGACGGAGCAGATGATCGACAAGGAGGGCGGCAGGGAGGCGGCCGAGGGCGGCGCGGGCGGCAGCCTGCGCGCCGGGGACGCCAAGGAGATGCGAGCCGTGGTGCTGTCCGCCTTCGGGGGGCTCAACAAGCTCCGCGTGTCCAAGAAAGCCATGCCGGAGCCGCAGGAGGGCGAGCTGAAGATCCGCGTCAAAGCCTGGTCCAGTATCGGCCCTCGCCCTCTCCTTGCCCCGGGGCGCGGGCGGGTGCGGAGCCCGCGGGGCCGGGCGGGGTGCGGGGTCCCGCGGTGCCCTGCGGCCGGGCATCGCTGCGCTCCGAGCGCGCCCTACGAGCCCCGCAGCCCCGGCTCTGGCACCGACTTCCCTCACCTGTGGCTTCCCCGCCGGAGCCCCGCTCCCGGCCGCCGCCGCCCCGTCCCTTCCCCGGCTCAGCGCTGAGCTCCGGGCTCCCCGGTCCAGGGCGGGCAGCGGGGTCGTGTGCGCTCGGCACGGGTGCTAAGGGAAGGAGATTGACCGTGGTACTTCACGCTGCCAGCTAGGGAAAGCCTGGCCAAGTGCGTTCGGGGTTTGGGTTTCTGTGAGAAATGTGGATGCCAGGTTGTGCGTGTTGCTCAGCACCTGTCTCTTTGCCTTCTGACACGCTGGCTGTTGTTTTTCTCCTGGGAATCACTTACTTAAGTCAGCATCCTTTTTCATCGGAGCTGCTGTGGCAGAGTGGCCAGAGCTTGGGATAATTTCCCAGTGTTAGTCCCTGTGTCCAGGTGACAAGTGTCCACGGTCGGGCAGCATCCTGCAATGAGTTTTCTTAGATGGCTTTTTTTCTTTTTTCTTTTTTCCTTTCCTTTCGTTTCCTTTCCTTTCCTTTCCTTTCCTTTCCTTTCCTTTCCTTTCCTTTCCTTTTTTTCTTTATTTTTTTTTTATTCACAGACAAGCAGAGCAGGCTCTTCTTCCTAGATTGCTGGTTCATAGTGCACGTTCCTTCATGAAAATAGGATTAATTCTTTTTGAGTGGCAGAAGCCACATTAGACTCTTACTACACAACTTGATATTTACCAAAGACTGAATTAATTTTGCCTAGGATTTATCTTCTGTTGTCCTTTTCTGCTATATGAAAACATGGTGCTTCTGGAATATAAATTCCAGGTGAAGGCTAAGTTGTTTACTTTAGAAGGAACTTGTGTTAAAAATGTTACTGGTATGGGGGAGTGAGCTTGTTTTGAATCACATATCAGTGGATCTGTTTCAGGTTCGGAATATCCTGGTAGGTTAATGCAGCTGAGTGTCTTGACCTGTTCAGATGCTGTACTTTCCATTCTGTTCTTAATGGGGCTCATAAAGTTTGTGACCATTGTGAGTATTCCCCCTACCAAGGTGTTGCCTATGAAAAATAGTGATATCCATTCATCTGCATGAGTACTAGTAAATAATGGGCTGGGATTTTTTGCATTCACATTTGGTGTTGGGGTTTCTTTTCTCTCTACTAGCCACAATGGAAAATTCAAGAAATTCTATGCTAAATGAATAGAAGTAATGTTTCTTGTTTCCCAAGTGGTTTTTTTTCCCAGCCATTGGGTTAACAAAATTTAACATGCAAAACTAAAAATGTTATTAGCACATGGATATAGTTCTCTAAATGCATCACGGATTTACATTTTCCAGTACCTGTATGAATTCCACTTTCATGAAAGCAGTAGCTGTGTATGTATCACAAATAGCAAGCTACCTGCACAAGAACGCTTGGCTGTAAAATAGAATTGTGCAGCCACAGCTGCAGCTGCCCTCCAGGGCTGCAGTGTCTGTAGGGCTGTGTGAGTTGCAGGCGTGCTGTTTGACATCAGCAGACCTGCTCAGCTGCTCCACAGGTGACTGCCAGGTTGCACAATGCCCCCTGTGTTTTGGGAGCTTCCCTTCCTGTGGAGGAGCCTGCAGGCTGGAGAGCATCTGCTTGTCATTCCTGACTGGAAATGGCCACAGGGCTGAAATGTCACCAGGTCACCCAAGTGTGCTTCCAGGCAAGGCAAAATCAATTTGCTGATCCTCTTGACCCAAGCCTGTAAATGCAGAGGATTGATTAGGATGATGATGGACTTGGGAGATCGAGTGAGAAAGGGGTTGGCTTTGCGCAGGGCAGCATGCACATGTTGATGTGGGCAGTGCTGAACACACACTAGATGGGTTGTTCCAGTCACCAATACTTCTTACAAAACACGTATTCTGTTGCATCAGTCTTGTAGTTGACCACCACTAGAGATGATTATTATTTTGACTCAACAAATTGATGGAGGAAAATAAGATTTATTTTAAGAAGGATATGCACATGCTTGATAAATAGTATACACCAGTAGAACAACAAGTTCTGTGTGGTCTCTGAATTCCCTGTGGATAAAACTAATTGAATCACATGTTTAGACCCCTTAAGTTGTATGTATACACTTCATAGTGTGGTACTAGAAATGGAGGAGATGGAGGATATGCTGCTGTTAGCACTAAGCCAGATGAATAATTCTTTTGAAGGTCTGGGATATCAGTGATCCAATTGAAAATGTGTCAGCTGAGATGAGTCATGTGTTAGGCTCATTCAGTGACTAAGAAATGGAACAGCCATCGATGTCCAAGCTGAGTCACAGCTTCTGCATATTTCCTGAAATAATTTTTGATTGATAATGATGAAGCAGTTGAAACTCCTGTGTTTGTTTGTATTGTAATTTGCAGGCAGCAGAACATTGGGATACAGAGTGTTTAAAAGATGAGACAAGTAGCTGGAATGAACGGAAGCCGTGTTTCAGATGGGCTGTGTGAATTAGCAATGGTGTCCTATGATCACCTCCCTCTATTGTTCTTTTTTCTCTTATTGTTATTTTTACCTTGTACTGCTGTACATGTGTATTGTGAGGAATGAGCAGAAGTGACCCTTCTGACTCTGTGACTGTGAGATGAAGGCACTTTAAAAAAACTGGAGCGGATAAAAGAAATCCTAAGTGTAACAGAGCAGCGGAAGAGAATTTGTGTTGCTCCTAAAGGCAGTCTGTTCTTATGGTGTTGGTTTCTGCATAAAAAGCATGAGACCTGATAATTTTAAACCTTTCCTTTATGTATAGACATGGTTAGTTTTGTTGGGTTTTTTGGGTTTTTTTGGGTTTTTTTAAATTTTAAGATTGGGCAGTTTGCTGGCTGTGGTTAAGAGGAAGGATTTTAAGAATGCAAAACTTGATGGTTCTTTTGTTTTGCTCTGTGGCTTTTCATTAATTTCAGTAATTTATTTTAGTGGATTTTTACAGTGAAATAAGAAAGACAGATCAAAAGCAGCACCTCTCCAAATCATGTCATGGACTGTTCTGCATGATTTGGGATTTTGAAATGGAAGGTATTGAGCATCCTCAAGTGTATGGGATGGAACAAGGAGAAACAAATTGACTGTTGCTTTCCACACTTAAGAAAAGGGAAATAAAATGCAGCAAAACTAAACCACAAGCATGGAGAATAATATTCAAGGTCCTCAAAAGGACCTGGTGTTAAGGTAGAGCATTGCAGACTGAGAAAGTCAGATTCAGATCCAAGGATAATTCCATATTTGATGAAGTCTGCCTCCAGTAAAGCACAGTTAATACAGTCTGTGCAGGTCACAGAGACATCCCTGCTCTGTCACAGGGATGTTCTTGCAGAACCTCTATGTCAATGTATTGATTATGATAATTCATATCCTTCCCTATTTTCACTTTAATCCAGCTTTTGGATTAAAAACATGCTGTGTACTGTTTGTCACTGGATTGCTTTGCATTTACATTCTCCCTCTGCATATGCCCTTACTTTAAGTTCAGGAGTCACTTTCTCTGGCTGCACACCAGAGCAGGCTATCCTGCTTTGCAGTGGTACAAGAAATAAATTGTGCTTAATCTCTAAACCTACCACTCTTCATGAAACATATTTTCTTGTGATGGTCTGTGCAGTCAAACTTTTCCTGAGTGTGCTTGATTGAATCCCAATGAAGGAGCTGGGTGTTTTGGGTGTAGTTACAAAATTTGCCATCCATTTTTATGCCCCCCTTGGTTATTCTAAGGAAAGAAAAAAAAAAAAAAAAAAAAAAAAAAAAAAAGAAAAAAAAAAGCTGTGTTGACCAATACACCATAATCATGCTTTCAGATCTACTGATCTTCAAATTTCTCAGGTAAAATAAAACTTCTGTCCTTCCTTCAACATGGCAAAGAATAGGAGTAATGGCACGCATGAGAGAAGCAGGGATGCCACAACATGTGAGAGTAAAGGTGATGAAAGTGAATGAATAAAAAACTCTCTATAAAGTGACTAGAAATTATTAGAAAGCCTGGTCAACACTCCATGGTTCAACTAGTAATTAAAACAATAAGAACACATGACTTGATTATTGTTTACCTTATGTAGTGTGAGGTCTTGTAAGTTCATTGTAATAGAGATGAACTCCCAATATAATTTTGCTGCCCTTTGTGCCCCTTTGGGGAAAAAACAGATGAAAAAGAAATGGAACTAGGACAGAGCTGAACTGCCAGTATTATGTCATTAGATGCAGGACTGAACATGTGCCTTTTCAAAAACTGTCTGGCAATTTACTTCATGAGAAGGAATCTATTTGTGATCATTGTCATGAGCAAAGAGCAATGGCCTTTGCATATCCACCTGTCTCCTTCTTGCCTACTTGTTATGACACTACGGGGTGTGTTCCTGCCCAGATTCCCTCATCTCCGTCCTGCCTCGGGGTGCCTTTCCTAGCAGGAATGTAGGGGAAAGTTAACTTTTTGTAAAACACTTGCAGTGTGGAAAGATGCTTTTAAAAGACCATTGCTGAAATTAATGTACACAGACAGTGGTTGCCACCATCAGTGCTGTGGAGTTTCTGGGTTTGTGGTTTGTTTTGGAATTTTTGTCTGTTTGTTTGTTCCTTCTCCAAACAATGGCTGCCTTGCAGGCATTTTGCTGTTTGGAATTTCTCTTTCATGTCAACATCAGAGTGGCAATGTAGGAGGTAGTCTTACCCACTGGATAAGAAGTGATCTTTCCAAAATAATTTCAAATTTGCCAGCTTAACTCTGTGAAAACCCCTCTTAACCTTCCATGTGGTTGATATTATAAGCTTTGTGTATGAGTATTTTGAAAGGTGTGGGTTCAGGTTGCTCCTAAACCCTCCACCACAATTATGAGTGCTTACATTTGGTGGGATTTCCTTCCCCCTCCCCAGTGACCTACATCCCATGAATGCCATGCTGTTCCTGTGCGAGGGCTGGGTGTCTGTTAATTTGTTGGGTCTGTTCAGTCTGTCTGTGTCTTGATTAGTATCTGACTAAGGCTGCATCTAATAAATCCTTGTGCCCATCAGTAATGTGGTGCATCCAGGCAGTTGCTGCTATCATGTGTGAGTAGGACTGGCTGTGTGCTTGGCTAACCGTAAAAACAGGGCTGTGTTTTGGAAGAGTTTTAAAGTTTTAACTGTGGCATTAAGGCCAGCAATCAATATATGCACATAGTAGATAAGTGGTGCCTTTTTTCTTTTCTTTTTTTTTTCCTGTGTCTGCCTAGAAAACCATAAACTTTTCCTTAATACAGTTGCATACAAAAGACAATGCAAAAGTGCTTTAGGATTTTTGCAAAGCTGAGACTGCAGGGAAGGACCTGTATTTTTTTTCTGAGCATCTAACCTGACGACTTCAAAGATCTTAATAACTTTTGAAAAAATGTACAGTCATGATCCAGGAAGGAACAGTTTTAAAACAAAAGCCTATCTGGTGCTTAGTAAGTTCATGCCAGAGTTTGGACTCCTGCCTGAGACAAATACAAGATGCATTCCTGGGGTCACACCAAAGGTTAGGACAGTTAGATCGTGTTAGGTCATTGGGCTCCTAGCCCCAAATAACTATAATGTGTGAGGCTTGGGGTGTTCTTCTTAAATTGACCTGGCTTTCCTTGCCAGCTAGTAGTGCACTTGTAGCAATCGCAGTGTTTCACTGCACTGGATTCTGAAATGCCCTGTGTGACTGCTGAGCAGTCTGGGGCTGCTGTGCTGTGCTGGCACGTGCACCCTCTGCCCAAGGCTCAGCATCTCAAGAGTGGGAATGTCTGCTGGCTCCCAGTGACCCTGCAGAGCCCAGCTTTTCAATGCTGCCCTGGAGTTTTCTGGCTGTGCCTTCATTTGGGTCAAGTTTTCCTCCTCTGCTTTGATCTGTGGTAATAGTCTTTTAATTTTTTCCTGTGTTTTACAGTGGTTTGAACTTTATTGATTTGATGGTGCGACAGGGGAATATTGACAACCCTCCTAAGACTCCGCTTGTTCCTGGGTTTGAATGTTCTGGAATTGTAGAAGCTCTTGGAGACAGCGTGAAAGGATTTGAGGTAATTTTTATTTTTTTTCAAAGTGATAGTTATAATCCCATATAAATAATCACCAGTTTCTAATCCCTTCTGCTCTGCCAGTGACAGCAGCCTTCACCACCCTGCTGAGATTTGAAAGGTCAATTTTTCCTTGCTGCTTCCCAAGCATGAGAATGACCTCTTGAATTAGTTTCTGACTCCACCACTGTCATCTCCTTCAAATCCTTCCTGAAAGTCACTTGTGCCATGTGCGCATCCTGATGGCTAAATAGGCACTGGAAAGCATGAGTGATGTCCTTTAATAAAATGAAAGAAATTAAGTTAACTTGTTAAATTTCTTTTCTTGGCCAAGTTTCCTGTCATCACTGCTCTTTTACTCAAAGCCCAGGTGCTGCTGATTCTGGTTCCAGCTTTTGAACTGGAGTTAACAGAGCCCTGTTTACAGTAAGCATTGCTTCTTACAACTGTGTGCATTAATGAGGTGGAGGTTAAATTAGGATTCTGATTCTGGATATATGATTTAGTCTGATTGCTCAGGAAAAATATTTATTTCACCTGACAGGTTGTGATAAATGACAGATATTTGATGCATATAGTAAAGTTGTCATAAGTGGTTATGGACTCTGTGGTATCTCTTATGGCATATAAGCAGCATTTTGTCCTGCCTCCTATTCTGTTATTGATACTAAACATCTATATTCACTGCAAACTTGCATTTTATTGCCTAAGCAGGTTGAAAATTTTGGAAATAAATACTGAGTTAACACATATGAATCCTACCTTAGTTATTTGCAGAGTCAGCCATGTCAAAAGGTAATCACGTTTTCCGAATTCTTATTATAGCTGGATCTTAAGAAGATATAAATATTTTATCTAAAGACAAAATTTTTTTCTTCTCGAGCATCTAAAATTTGTCAGTTGGATGAAGATAAGGCCAGTTTAGTTTCAACTATGGTTTCAGTGGTGAAATTTTCTTAGGGGATTTGTCTCAGTTCCCTTCCTGCCCCATCTCTGCCTTGAAACAAATTGCAGTCTTTCAATGTATTTTGTTACAAACAGCTGAATGACAATTTTGCTGTTTGAAAACCTTTTGTGCTTCAGTAGTTCTGCTCTAGCATCTGTACTTCATAGCTGTGCTCCATATCGAAGAATATTCTCTGAAAGGAGAATATTCTCTAGAAAACCTCTGCTCCAGATCAGCACACTCATTTTTAAAGTTCTTGCTATTTTTAAAGGGCATCATAAGGCTACAGCATATGGTGCTTGTTTGAATAACACTGCACCTGACTGGATATACTGTGTCTGTTTTTGAAGTGACAGCTTTGTTCTGACTGTGGAGCACGCTTGTGCACTGGTGTGCTCCTGTCGCTGGAACAAACTGTATTTTATTTTTTACACATAGCCTTCACAGCCATGGCTGTGTCGGAGTGATCTAGAGAAGGGCCCACACTCAGAGTGACAGCTGTGCACGGGTGTGAATCCACCAGCAGGAGAGCATGCCGTGAGGATGATGGAAGAACGTTCTGTTGGTCTCTTTATGGAATCCTTGCACAGAGCAGGGGCACACCAGATGCTTGCTGTCTCCTCGACATGTGTTGTTACCTCTGTCCACAGCAATGGCCAAGACTGCACCCTGTATCTTCTGACCTCCTTTCCCTGGGTAAATCTCTTCCAGTTCAAGCCCTATTAAAATAGGTGTAATGCCTATTCCTTCTGCCATTCAAAGAAAAAGCTGCTTTCTGATGATGACAGCTGTATCAGGCCTGATCTCTCTCCAGTTTTGGGGATGATTCTCAAGAAATGAGATCTAATCTGACTAGGCTCTGAATAGTGTCTGTGGTAAAATGTGGTATTTAGTGTTACCAGGAAGTGCCTTGGGAATCACCAAGAGGGACTTCTCTGCATTCTTTTTGGTAATCATTTATGATTCATGGCAAGGATATAGGGCATATTAACATCTGCACTAATTAATCCTAGCAGACTTTCTATTTTAGATGCTTCTTTAAGAGCAAAAGGGAACCACAGAGTGATTACCAGTGAGGCATTGTTAATTTGAATGTATTTCAAAAGGAGGAGGCATTTCAGTGAAATTGGAATGACAGCTCCGTTTCAGCATTCTCATTCTAAAAGAGACAACCCTTCAGAACTGTCAGCAGCCCCTTAGCTTCGAGCAAACCTGCAATATCCCAAAGCAAAAGTGATGACTCAGGAGACCAAAATGTGCTTGTGCTGTAAATGTTTGCCTGAAGGCAAAAGTGTTGTGCTTTACTCCATACCTGTAGTTCCTAAAGCATTAGAGAGCATTGGTAGAATGTAAGAGAGTATCTGGCAGATAAGCGAAGTTATTTTAGAGGGACAGCTGCTGTTAGTTTTAGTTAAAACACAAAAGCCTGGAGTTTGATGCTATTCCTGTCTTATCCTGTGGCTCCATTGCAGAGCTCCTTTCATGGTTCAGGTTGTTGTTTTGGTTGGTGTATTCTAGAAAGGCAGAGGGTCTAAGGCAAGGTAAAAGATGCCATGGGGTTGCTGGTAGTGAGGAATTATTGGGAGTTTGTAAGAGTTGTGCCTGTGAAGATTTTAATACACACTGGGCAAACATTTGCTCAGTGTGGCTGTCCCTTGTAGACCCAGCAGCCCAATTTCTGCTTTAAATTAGTGTTGCTGTCCAAGTCTCTTGTGCCTTGTTGTTACTCTTGTCCATCCGAGAAGAGTCAGTATCTCTGCTTTAAAAAGCTGCAATGAAGGCCAAATACAAACAGTTGAGCTTGATGTGCCTGGACCCCTGAAAGGTTCCTGGGAGCAGCCAACTGTATCTAATATTTACAGAAAGCCTTTTTTTCTCCATAGTGAATTGTGCTTTCACTACCATATATTTTCAGAAGAAACTGAGCAGAGAAATGTTGCACTGGAAGATAATATTTCATTGCTCCTTTAAATCTTGTCAAATTCACTTTGTAGATTTAACAGTGCCTTAAAATCCAAAGGTATATTTTTGATGTTTAAGGTGGCTTATTTGAAGTTGTAGAACTATATTCTGCTCTGACACATGGCTGTGGAGATTACAATCATGGATATATCTTGGTAGAATCAGTTATTAAGATGGTAAAAATAGAGAGTGGGTACAGATGGTGTTATCTTCTGAATGAGAGCTTTTGCAACCCTTTCACGTGCTCCATCTACCAGAGCACAAGGCCTTCCCTTCTCAATCCACAGAGAGGAAAAGTAGCTCTAAATTAGTGTGATGACTGAGAAAACAAAGTTAAAGTTATCCTAGGTATAATTTTCTTTATTCCATGCTTCTCATCCATATAATTGTAACCTTTCCCCCTCATCTCTTCTCTTTAGCAAAATTCCTGGTTATTGCTAAGAATGCTGTTTTCATTCTTTACATTTGTTATTTGGGAGCTCTGCTAGCAAAAGATGGTCTGTACTGGTGATGATAGAAGACTGCTCTATCAGAGAAGAGTGGAGCAAATAAAATAAAAAAAAAAAGGAAGAGGTGGCTTTAACTTCTTTTTGTTATTTTTGTTGACATTAGAAACAGTAAAAGCCCAAAGCTGAGCAGCTTAATTGCTATTTTTCCAAAGATGTGGAGCAGCTTTTTTCCTCACAATCAGACAGTGACCCACACCTTGAACAGGAGACTTGCAGGTCTCACAGGTTGCTCTCTACAGCCTCAACTGCAGTCAGATCCTCAGCATTGTTTTCTTCCTTGTTTGTAGATTGGAGACAGAGTCATGGCTTTTGTGAACTACAATGCCTGGGCTGAAGTCGTGTGTACCCCAGTAGAATTTGTCTACAAGATCCCAGATGACATGAATTTTTCCGAGGCTGCTGCATTTCCCATGAACTTTGTAACTGCCTACATGATGCTCTTTGAGGTTGCTAACCTGAGAGAAGGCATGTCTGTGCTGGTTCACTCGGCAGGAGGTGGGGTGGTAAGTTGGAACTTCTCTTCCTTTCCTGTCACTGAGTACCTGAAAGTCTGATGCATCTTCATTCCTGAAATGAGCCAGAACCTGCAGTTTGAGGTGATATTCCTCTATGTGAGGGATTGCACTGGGAGGAACTGCATCTTTTTTCCCATCAAAATGCTGATGTGAATGGTTGGCAGGAGCTTTTGGTGAAATAAAAATGTTATGGCTCTAGACTCTATGAATAAACATCTCATGGAAAAACCCCTAATTGGTTGTCAGCAGATCAAGGATCAAGCATTGTCTCAAATATTGCATTCCTGAACTTACACATGTTGTACTTTTACGTTAAAGAAGGGTATAGTGGAAAGAATAAGCTCTCTGCAAAAGGTATTTGTATGTAACCATAATCCTCTTTACAGTAAATGTCCCTCTCTGAATACTCCTGCACATATAATGTGTGAGTGTGTGTGGTGCTTTCACTGTGAAAGATTTTCTTTTCCCCTTCTCGTAGAGGGATTGAAGGCAGTGAAAAGTTCTCATGTGAGTCCTGAGGAAAAGGTACAAATTTGAAATTGTAGCCAGTGGTGGCTGCTGCATATTGTAGTTTGGATCATTCCTGAGGAGGCACTGTGTGGCACAGGCAGAGGATGAATTTGTGGGAATACCAGGCCACACAGTGAAATAAAGAGTCGGCATTTTGCCATGCCAGTTCCTTGAAGTATCTTTTAGGAAAAGTCTCTTTCTTTGGAAAGTATTAAAGTTTTGTGCAAAACATTGTGATATTGACTGCGGACTTTTATACATTTGAAATTATGCAGTCCTTTTTCATAAGACAGATTTTATGACCTGAGACCATTAGCAGATAGCAGCCTTTGAAACTCAAGTACCTTTCTATGTTCTTGTTGTGCCTTATTTATGCTAAAATAACGTTCTGTTTTCTGCTGAGGTCTGGTGGGTAGCCCCAAACACACCGTCCTTAATTCTGCGCCCTTAGCCCTTTTTCAGGTTCTCATATAAATGAAGGCTGCAATCAAAAGAATAAATTCATGAGTTCTCTGTACAAGGTATTTTTAGCCAGCCATAATCCCAGTGGCAGTGAAGGGTCGGTGCTGTTGGAACAGTGGAGTAAATGAATGGAATTTATAATCGTATTATGCTGGGGCACAGTCCGGCCCACAGAGCTGGGGCTGACCATTGTTCTGTGGTGTTCAATCTCTTCGTGTGGAATTCAGGGCTGCTAAAGCAACATGAGGCCACACATTCAGGGGAATATTCTACAGGAATCAAAGTCTCAGCTGTAGCTCTAAGGCCATTTGCCCCCCTGGCACTGTACAGCCCCTTTGTGGGCTGAGCATACACAATTAGCCCCAGAGCAATCCCTGCACGTACCTGTGTATCTAGAGAGGCTGAACCCCTCCTCCTTTTTCAGATTCCTGTGTTTCTTTCTCGTTCTGATCTCACTTTTCTCTATTATTTCCTCCTTCTTTTCCTGAAGGACTGGTAATGCTCTGTTAATGTCAGTTCTCACGTAGCTTCTGCTCTAGTGCCTCAGTGCTGGGCTGTTCCTGGAAGGAGCTGCTGGCTTCCTCTCTCATCCCAGCTGTTCAATGGGCAGCTCTTGGCTGGTCCTCTGCTGTGGCTGCTCCAAACCTTCTCTGAGACAAGCTAAAGGAAAGATGGGTCCTGCTTGGCTGCCAGGAGAACAAGGAGGAATCAGATCCATCACTTGCTAAGCAGTTAAATAAAGCAGAGTTTCCAAGGGAAAGGCCAGACATGCAGGAAGGGCAGCCAGGCTGGCAGTAAGGGATGGAGGGCTGTGTAGGATCCAGGGGGACTGCAAGGAAGAGGGAGACAGGGCTGGCCAGCCTGCAGGCCAGGATGCTGATCACTGTCCCAGGGGAGAGTGCCTCACACAGCCCCTTGTTTCTTGTAAGGGAAGAGCATGGAGAACAAGAATTGGAAATTGTCCCATCACTTGATAGGTTTTTAAGGTAAAATATCACTCTGAAGGTGCGTGGATTTTTTTTTTCTTTCTGCTAAGCAGACATAAAGATTTCAGAGGGGTCTGTGTTACTCTAATAATCTGTCTCTTAATCCTTTGAAAAATCTGACAGTTTCAGATCAAGCACATCATTCTCACAAAGGTCTTTCTTAATGAACAGAAAACTGGCACTGAGGCTGCTATAGAAAGAGTTATTTTTGTTCTGTTGCTTTAATAGATAGAATGCCCTTCCCCACTTTCAGCAAATCTGTCCAGTTTGTTTCTAAATGTCAGAGAAATTCCAGAACACTTTAATGAGACAATAGGCTCCCTGTGGGACTAGAAGTTTCTAATTGTTCATTTCTCATTATGCAAGATCATTATTTTAGCTGCTTCAGGCAGTTTATGAAAAAGAACTTGTTGCTTCAAAAATGTTTGTGAGGTTCTTTGTTCTGGCCACTCAGTCCTCTTTAGGAGGATCCTGCAGCTTTTTCAATAAGAGGAGACAGGCAAAATTCTCAAGGACCTTTACTCTTGTGTACTATCTCAGTTTATTTATGTGGTCTTTTGTTGGTAGATACTTTTGGTAGTGAGGTAACTATAGCAATTGTCTTCCCATCTGTGCCTGGAGTGTGATTAGTAGCTTTAATGTCTGACAGGATGCTTTAGATAAGTCAGGTTATTTATTCCAGAAGTTCCTGGGAGCATCAGAAGATTAGGAAGAGAAAAAGGAAACGTACCAAGATAGCCTGTCTTGGAAAAGGTCTCACACAGCTGTCTCTGTGTTCCAGGCTTGAATCATGCTCCATGTACCAAACGAGTGCCTTCCCTGCCCCCAGTCCCTGGAGAGGCAGGGCATCCTGCATCTTCCCTGGTCCTGGAAGGAGAGAGGCCACACGTGGGGAAGCACCTGGTGTCCCTGAGCCAGGGGACAGGAGGACACCCCCAGACTCTGCTTCTGGCCCCTGGGATATTGCACCCTTCCCTCAGGGGAGGAGGAGCTGCTGCAGTGCTCACAAGGGGGATTGAAGGGAGAGATGACATTTGGTTTTCGTAGGGTTTGCTTCTCATTTGGTTTTCAAGTTTTTCAGCTTGTTGATTTTGATTGCTTGGGAAAGGGGCGGCTTAGGCTTTCCTGGCTCTTTTTAAATCCTTGGAACAGGGGGAGTGAAGAGAGGGTGACTCTCAGCTCCCACCCTGGGCAGGGAAGGAGGCTGAAGATATTTCAGGAGCCTCCTCAGAAAGCACAGAGCAGGCTCACAGTGGCATTCCGTGATTCCCACAGGCTCTGACAAGAAATGAACTTTTCAAGTCCTGCTGCTGACTAAAATCTAACAAAGTTGCCATTTGCTCCCCTTTCAGGCCTCTGCTTGGCAGGACACTTAGAACTTCTGATTAAACCGTCAAAGTGAGTATCAGGGCAGTTCAATAATTAACAAAAAATAGAATTGTCTCATACAAATAGAATTTAATTGCTTTAAGCTACAGAAATGTTCAAGTGCCCTTCTGAACTGGTTGCTAAATCAGGGAGAAAGTCAGATAACACTAAACATCATAAATAGACATTAATGCTGAAAATAATGACTTTGCAAGAACACATGACTTACTGCAGGACATATATTGGTCTGCCTTAACTGTACAACACTGCAATTAATGTTTGAAATTACTGTAAGGCAATGGAAGAGTAGCTCCCTTCACAATACACTTCCCCATCTCTTTAAAGTGAAGCAAAATGGCAACTGAGGAAAATACCCCAAGAAAACTGAGCAGTTGTGTGCACCCTGCTGGGGCTGATCTGCCCTAAGAGGCAATTAGTTCTTTAAAATAAAAACTCTCTAAGCCAGTGCATTCAGTGCAAGTCACAGCACAGGCTTGTATGAGGTTATAAAGTTTTGTTCACAATTATTTATGTAAACTGTTGAATTAGTCTAAATACAGGACTGTTGTAGTAAAAAAAAAAAATCGAAACAAGCATTATGCTTTTCTCTTTGAGCTTCAATAAATCCAGTCCCTATTTCTATGATATCTACCTGGAAAATTAATTCCTCCAGGGCTTTATATTTGTGAGAGAGAGCCATTATATCCATTTGCTTGTTTGTTTGTTCTTCATGTACTTCCTCTTGTGAATATTTAGAGCACAAAGCTTTGGTTATTTACCAAGATTTTGTAAACACCATTCTCATCACTTAACTCCTCAGACTCAAGGCAGAATTATTAGCCAATTCTTTAGCATTTTGATCTTGCAGATGCTAAAAATAAGCCACCTTCCATGCAGGAGCATTGATTGCTTCTGCTGAAGCTGTTGTCTGACCTTCCCTTTCAGGCTCAGCAGCAAAGGAAGTGCAAGCAGAGTAAGTTACAGATGCAGTTCTCATGTTTGAATTTGAAGGGTAAATCTGACTTGGCAACAGATTTAGGCCATCCTGGCAGGATTTGTTACTGCTTGGCAGGAGCCCTCTTTTTTATTGTGTCTCCCCTGCATATATTGCAAATATTTGAGGATGTGTTCCCAGCTGAATCACTGAAGTGGTGACATTCTATCTGACAAAGAACTGGCATTTCTTAGTGAATCTAGTCACCTGCTATCACAGACAGCATATAGGAACCCTTGCAAGAGAATGATCTAATTTCTTCCTGAAAAAACACCTAAGTGTTTATCCATTCAGATTCTCTCCACTCTGTCTTACCCAGTGAGAAAACTTTCCAGACTTTATTCATGGCCAGTAAATGCATCTTTGTTCTTTGAGAGTTGATGTATCTTCTACTTAATGATGTTATCCAGTAATTAAAATTAGGTCCTCTTTCTTCTTGGAGCACTTCTTTTAGATCTTTTTGGTAGGATATATATGTTCACAGCTACAACAAGCTCAGCATGAAATCTCTCCTTGGCCTGTATTTTTCTGTCTGAAGGAGGATTGTTTGCTCATACCCTGTTTTTGTAAGGTTAGATGTCTGTTTCCTGGGTCATCCTCCAGGCAGGTCCTGCTCCAGGCAGATGTGGATGTGTTTCATGGGCTCTGAGCTGGTTGGGAGCACAGCA